TTTGCAGGCAGGTCACTCGTTTGAGCTGGGTCCGTGATTAGTCTCTGGGAGCGTTTCTAGGTGTCAACATTTCCAGCACCAGCGGACTACAATAAACCTCTTTACAAACAGCACCTCCACTTGCTTTTGCTGAAAGAGGTTGGTGACACAATGGACTGAATTCACCCGCCTTTCCTAAACGGAGCCTCATTACTAGAGATGTTGGGAGAGCGATGCATGATAACCCTGCAGGGCTCGTGCTGCTCCTCTCGCCCGAGGAATACAGAGATATTTGCCATTTAGTGCTGGCAGGCAGCAGCAGCCCTGCAGCACTTGGAGGGATGCATCGCTCTGCTCTGACAAGCCACGCGGCAGGACAATAAAATACTCAGCGCGCTCAAAACGCGTGGCCGGGCAGTGGGCACCAGAACCATCTCTAACCAGCCACAGTGATCCTTCAAAAGCACAGAGTACTGTGTGCTGAATTTATTTATCTTTAACATCATGCAAGAGATGCAGCCTACTGACAGAAACCACCACTGACCTGCAGCTCAGCAAGGACCACCAATTTACAGGGTCACAGTGAAGAAAACGCAGAACAGCAGCACTGGAGATGGATTTGTGGCTCTCTCCCAGCTGCACTACATTGGTTCAGCCAAGTTAGTCCCTCAGATGTGAGCCAGGACTCGTGATCACAAGAGCAACAGATCTGGGAAGGAATTAACACCTTCCAGGTTGCTTGAGCACACAAGGGAAGTACGCTTTCATCTGGCTGCAGCTCCCCAGAATACAGACACCGCTGTTCTGAGTTTCCATAACACCTTTCATCCTCAAAAACGCTAACGGTCTTCACAGTAAGCCCTTTTCTGCCGTGCCACCAAATCGCAGCCCTTTCTCAGGCAGAAACATCACCTGAACAGTGCCCAGGCTGACCCAAAGCAAAGCAGAAAGATGACTGCTTTTCCTAATATTCATGCAGAACAATGAATGAAGATGCTGATTTTCTTCCTGTTCATCAAAAGATTTTTCTTCTATCTTCCCCCAGGCTATAAACATGCACAGGGAAATTAAATTACTGCTCTGGGAAAATAATCAAGAGATCAGCTGAGTCGAGCAGAACATGAATGCGTGGCTCCAGGGACCGCAGACCCGGGGAGCACAAGGCATACGCCACTCGGCCAGCCCTCCTGCGTGGATAAGCAGAACACGCAGCCCTGAGGACAATTTTCTGAAGGATGTTAAGGCCCCACTTAACTAAATCTACTCCCAAAAGCAGGAGTCTGGCACCGTCCCGCTCATCTCAGCATTATCCCAAACGGTCTACTTCACTCTAGGTGTTCTTACCATTTTCTTCTCTCCTTCCTTCCCTCCCTCCAAAATACCCAGAAATTTATGAGACAGGTAAACCTTTCTCAGAAGACTGGCACACTTCCCAGTCCTTATCATCACTGTCCTCCCATTGGGGATTTGTAACAAAATTAATGGTAGCATCAGCTGAGCTGTAACAGCTTTTAAAGGAGAAAGTGTCAGAGGGCTCTGGGGGACAAACAGTTCCTGGATGTGCTTAAAATTATTCTTACATTATCAGTTAAAACCAATGCCCTTGTGGTAGGCATACCTGTGTGGTACGCTTAGCGAGTAACTCGGGTGAAACTGGATTGAAACGCAGCAGCAGGGACTGATATTCCCATCGCACAGCACTGGACACGTTCGGGTGTTTCAGTAGGTTTTTGTACAGTTAGCGATGCGGTTCCAAGAAAAGCAATCGGAAAGCTCCAGCCTACCTTTGAGATCTGCCCTTTAACAAAAAGTAATGTCTTCCCCATCAATAACACCATCGACCCAAATCTGCATCTGCAATTCTAAAAAAAATTAGCTAATTAAAGCTTACATCACCATTGCCAGCAGAGTGAGGGAGGTCGCGTGCTCGCTTTGCCTCCTGCCAAAAAGGAGCCACCTCTGAAGTGAAGGGCAGCAGCTCTTCCCCAGCGCACGAGAGCAGGCAGGAGACTGCAGAACGAGGCCCGGGAAATGCCGCATTCAAATAAAACTGGGAGGAGTGTTACGGGATTGCTTAGGAATACAGCTGGAACGGCGCCAGCACTTAGTATGCATGAAGGCTGGTATGGTATGAACAATAAAAATAGTAGCAGCTGCTTAGATAGGAAAATACGATTTGGACTATGTGCAAACCCATCATATGACGAGGTTCAAAATCTGCCCAGGATCAGGTCAAAGAAAGATTAAGGCCGAGATAGCTTATTTTGGTGTAAACTCCGTTGCAAGGCCCTTCCTTTCAACAGGTCTCACCTTGCTTTAGAAACCTTTCTGCTCCAGCATTAGGAAGGTAGGTTTTAGTCAGGCTCTGTTTGGTGCCTAATATCACAGATGGCAGGAGCTAGCCTAGGTTAGGAGCATGGCCTGAGGGCACAGGGATTGCTTTGGTTTGGAAATCAGTGGACAGGGAAGTGGTCTTTAGGTACACGTACACACGCGTGGCTGAGCCAGTCCCCGCAGGCAGGATCGCTTCCCCCAGCTCCAATACATCCACACTTCTAACACAAAACACACCGTGGATTAACAGGGCACAGTGACCCTGTGCAGCACTTTGAAGCAGAGAACGATGCTTCTTCCCTCGGAAAAAGCCACATACTACCAGGAGCTGCAGAAGCTGCCGCTTTCAGCAAGTCAAACCCAGGGACACAAACCTGAACTCCCAAGGGTGGATTGTTTCCTTTGACACAGGCAGCCCAAAAACCTTGGAAAATGGGCAGGCTTCTTGGCTGTTACCAGAGATCCGTCAGCACACGTGCTCCTCTCCTTCCCAAGGGCACAGCAGTCCGGGGATGCAGAATTATCAGCTTCAGTTTTAAATCACCCTGTCCCACAGCATTTACCTTAGTGAGTTCTGAAAGGTTTTGTTTATGCAGATGGATGCAATGTGGCCTTCACCATCAGCCAGAACCAGCTGGAGGAAGCACATTAATGAAAGAGCAGGTACAGGATATCAAGTTCTTCCCAAAAGATCCCATGAAGATAGAGCCTGCTGACTCGGCTGGCAGAAAGAGATACTAACAACAGGAACCGCAATTTGTGTTCTCAGTCATATGAAAGATTTAACCCTTCATTCCAGTCTTTTGCTCACCTGCAGACAAGCAAATGGCCATTACTGCACCAGCTCCTCTTAATTCTCCAAAGCAATCCTGCCAGCAGGAA